AAAAAAAAAAAAAAAAAAAAAAAAACCTCAGTCTGCCTCTCTCCCCTCCCCCAGCAGCAGATACTATTGGCAACTATTTTGATCTGTTTTTGCATATTCATTTCCAGAGCTATTCCAGCCACAGAATGCATCAACACATATATAACATCATGTCTTTACATAAATAGCATAGTATGCATACTGTCACACACATTGCTTTTTTCACTTAACATTACATCTTGGAGATTTACACTGGATGTTAAAACTTCTTTAAGTGAGATTGTAAACACTTTATAAATCCAAATAAACATCTCTAGTCTGCTTGAGCCAGGCAAGGAAAGCCTTCCTCGAAGGAGGAGACGCTGCTGAGGTGATGATTTCAAAAGTTGAAGCTGAGATCTAGTGGGTTATGGGTAAGGGGTATGTTACCAGAGACGTTCTCATGCGTCCTGAACTGAAATTTTTTAAAGGCACGCGCTGCTCCGTTCCGTCAGCAAATTCCCATTTCCCATGTGCAGGCACAGAGCTGACGTTCCCAAAATCTGGGAGAAGACCCTTTATCGGCACATCGCCAGTGTTACCTTGAGTTGGTTGCGATTTGCAATGGCTACATTCAGTACTTTCTAATCATGAATTACTGTCAGCTTGGTTTTACCATTATCAGTTTATTTTGTTGTGGGTAACCCTCCCTAGTATACTGAAGCTTATTTGCATCAACAGTATTCTGGAACTGTAATTTTCCAATGACCGGATTCTCAGACGTGTATACATTGTGGTTCAAATATGAATTGTCCATACTCCAGTGCTAAAGCCAATGTATACATGATCCACTTCCCCCCCAATTATCACCAATTTATTTTTCCGCTGGAAAATGAGAATAGATGGAGTTGGTAGGTCAAGCAATTTTGCCCTAAGCAGGGGCTGATCAAAAATAATTTGAGACCCAATGCATCTAATGCAGCTGCACCTCAGGAAGCCTACCTACATTAAACATCCTAACTATGCAAGAGGGATATGTCCTGAAACCTTCACTCATGCTAATATCGCATGCAATCGCCCCTCCATAAAATTCACTCAGGTCTGTTGGAAAATTCAAGAAAATACTAAGAACAGGAGAACTGCATTGAGATGCAAATGCTACATAGGAGGTAGACTCACTCAGCCACTAAGGGACCTGTGTCCACACACCAGCCTCCCAACACTTACGGATTCAGGTCTCAGCAAAAGACAAGTCAGCGTGTACAAGTTGCTCATTGTCATAACTACAAAGATTGTATCTGCAAACACCATGTTCTATCTGCAAATACCAAACATCGACTGTTTTTCCCTCTTTCCCCTGAAAAATATAAACCCAGGCTAGCTCCAGAATTTGCTCAGGCTCCTGCTTTATTAGGGTGGTGACTGCCCACGTGAATACACGCACAGGCATCCAGGAGGGTGCTCAGCACAAGATAAGCGGCCCCCACACCCAGCCCGACGATCTTGAGTTTCAGGCTTCCCAAGTAGGAAGCCACCAGTGAAGCACGTCTTAAAGTACATTTGTGGGATGTTAATCGATGTTAGATGGAAAAAAATGTCACATTCAAATACGTTTGGGAAATGTGAGGCTAAAGAAAATTAAACTCACTTCCTACAGCTTTGGTTTTATTTTTCCCCTTTTGTTTTCTTTTCCTTTTGTAATTTTTTTTAAGTTGTATTTATTTTTGAGAGACAGAGAGAGTGAATGGGGGAGGGGCAGAGAGAGAGAGGAAGAAAGAGAATCCCAAGCAGGCTCCGCACTGTCAGTGCTGAGCCCCATGCGGGGCTCGAACCCACGAACCGCGAGATCATGACCTGAGCGGAAACCAAGAGTTGGATGCTTAACCGCCTGAGCCACCCAGGAGCCCTGACTTTTGTTTCCTCACTGGAGCTCATCGCAGAGTCTCCTACACGGAGGCATATTATGACCCTCTGCAGGGAGACAGATGAGGGCACGTCCAGATTGCATCTGACCATGGGACTGACTTACCCCCTGAAAATCTGCAGGATGAGCGCTCTGTGGAGCTCATTCATTCATTTAACCAGCTGGCCAGATAGTCAACAAGCATGCACTGAGGGTCTACGATGTCTTAGGCGTGCCGGGTCCCCTGACAAAGGAGGCTCATTTGTGGAGCTCACTTGGGGACACACATACACACAAAAATCACAAATCAGTGGTGCCTACAAGCTATGGTGACCGCTGAGGACAAATATAAAAACCTGTGAAAGAGGCCTCGCTTGGGTTTTGAGGTCAAGAGAGGCCTCTGGCAAAGTGATGTTTTCAAGTGACATCTCCTCACGTGAGGAGCTTGTCCTTCAAGGGAACAGCATAGGTGAGGACCCCAAGCCAGGAGGAGACTCGGCTCCCTGGAGGGAGCTGCAGAAAGCCAGGCTGGCTGGAGTGCCAGGAGTGAGGTAGGGAGAAGGGATATCGGCTCAGAGGTGTCAGAGGCCTGTGGATTTTATGAGAAAAGCGGGAGGCAGTGTGTATTCACAAGCCTTCTGGCCACCGTGCGAGAAAACTCTGCAGAAAGCAGTCAG